GGATTGGGGTGGGGTTGCCAGATCCAGGTTGGGGAACTCCTGGAGATTTGGGGATGGCGCCTGGGGAGGGACAGGGACCTCAGGTAGTGGTGTACAGTGCCCCAGAGTCCATGGATTGGGGTGGGGTTGCCAGATCCAGGTTGGGGAACTCCTGGAGATTTGGGGATGGCGCCTGGGGAGGGACAGGGACCTCAGGTAGTGGTGTACAGTGCCCCAGAGTCCACCTTCCAAAGCAGCCATTTCCTGCAGGGGAACTGATCTGTTGAGTCTGGAGGTGAGCTGTAATTCCAGGGGATCTCCAGGTCCCACCTGGAGGCTGGCATCCCTAATGGAAAAACAACAGTTCCCCGGCAAGGCGGGATATAAATTGAAAATAATAAATAAATAATAATAAATGAAACACATTTTCCTAAGCTTGGTTTTTCAAGAGCTGAAGAGCTTCATTGCTCTCGGTCCTCTAAGTCAGCAGTCCCTAACATTTTTGAGCCTGTGGGCACCTTTGGAATTCTGACACTGGTTGGTGGGTGCAACTACAAAATGGCCTCCAGAGGGGGCGGAGCCAGCCACAACATGGCCACCACAGCAAGCAGAGAGCGCCAACCACAGAACGTCTAGGCGAAGATCGTGTATAACTCTAATAGCAGCTCTTCAATATTTCAGGCAGACTCTCTGCTGAACAGGAGGCCTTTTAAAATGAACCTCTTGTTCAGCAATATTCTCGTGTAGAGCTTACACGGTGAAGGTGCTTGTGCTCTGGCAGCAGCCGCTGCAGCAACAACTTCTTAATCGTATCTCCAGTGGCCAATCAGAAGCCCTGCTGGGCAAAAGCCCCACCCGCTATCTAAAAACACTTGCAGGGAGCCAGGAAAAGTATCTGCAGGCACCGTGGTGCCCGCGGGCACCATGTTGGGGAACCCTGCTCTAAGTCAATTGCTGTCTTCTTGCAGACAACTGGATCGTGTTTTATGTCTATGCTGTCTTTTTTAACCATGTTCCAGGTCTGGATCCTGCAGGGCCCAAATATACCAGAGCCAGCAAGGAAGAGCGCCTGGATCCTGAAGATGCCCTTTTTGTGGAAGCCATTCACACCGACACGGACAGTAGGCCTCCCCTCCCATTACACGGAGAACCACAGAGCACGTTATGGACAGTCAGGCTGCCGCCGCTAGAAATAGCCCCATTTCCTGTGGTGAATCATCTCCACCAGGGTGGGGAAGCGTAGGAGGGCTCAGGCCTGTATGTGGCAGCTTGTGGGATTTCACAGGCAGAATATAGCAAGGTCTCTGCCTCCAAAGACCGTTGAAAATGGCCCATCGTTGAACAAGGCAGGGCAGGAGAGGGCAGGGCACATGTTATGGGGTGTAGTAGGTTTTTGGATACTGGGGGGAACAGCCAAAGATGCTGCTGAAAAGATGCTTTTTGAAGAGGGGTTTGTAGCAAGAATCATAGAGTTGGAAGGGACCTCCAGGGTCATCTAGTCCACCCCTTGCACAATGCAGGAAATTCACAAATGCCTACCCTCCACGCACCCCCAGTGACTGCTGTTCCATGCCCAGAAGATGGCAAAAAACCTTTGGGATCTCCAGCCAAACTGGCCCAGAGAAAAATGGCTTCCTGACCTCAAAGTGGTAATCAGCATTTCCCTGGGCGTGTAAGAAAGGGCCACGAGAATTAAGCACTGAGGCAACCCTTCCTGCAGCCTCCTTCTCATGATCTGCCTGAGTTCACAGAATCAGCATTGCTGTCCGATGGCCCTAGATCTAGCCTCTGTTGGAAAACCTCCAGAGAAGGAGAGCCCACCACCTCCTGAGGAAGCCTGTTCCACTGAGGAGCCACTCTAACTGCCAGGAAGTTCTTCCTAATGTTTAGCCAACAACTCTTTTGATTTAATTTCAACCCGTTGCTTCTGGTCTGACCTTCTGGGGCAACAGAAAACAACTCCCCACCATCTTCTAGATGACAGACCCTCAAGTACTTGAAGATGGTGATCATCTCACCTCTTGGTCATCTCCTCTCCAGGCTAAATATAACCAGCTCCTTCAACCTTTCCTCACAGGACTTGGTCTCCAGACCCCTCACCCTCCTCTGGACGCGTTCCAGCTTGTCTATACCTTTCTTAAATTCTGGTGACCAGAACTGAACACAATACTCTAGGTCAGGGGTGGCCAAACTGTGGCACGGGAGCCACATGTGGCTCTTTCATACATATTGTGCGGCTCCCGGCAGGGTGGCTGGGGAAGCAAAGGGGAGGCATGCCTCCCCGATCGTCTCCCTTTCCCCAGCCAGTGTTCCCCTCCCTGCTGGATGACCTTGGGTCAGTCATAAGTTCTCTCAGAGCTGTTCTCTCAAGTTCAGTTCTGTCAGAGCTCTCTCAGCCCCACCTACCTCACAGGGTGTCTGTTGCAGGGAGGTGAAGGAAAAGGAGTTTGTAAGCTGCTCTGAGACACCGAGTGAAGGGCGGGGTATAAATCCAATCTCGTCTTCTTTTCTTCTTTCAGAGTTTGGGATCCGGATCCCCGTGGGCCACATAGATTATTACGTCAACGGAGGCCAAGATCAGCCCGGCTGCCCCCGTTTCATCACACCTGGTAAGAGAGGTTTGCAGCATATCACTGGCCTCTGACTAGAAAATGCCCTTGCTTATGGTTGCCAACTCTGGGTTAGGCAATTCCTGGAGATTTGGGTGTGGAGCCTTCGGAGGGTGGGGTTTGCTGAGGGGAGGGACCTCAGCAGGGTATAAAAAAATAAGAGTCCCCCCCCCCTCTCCAGCCCTAACCCTCCATGCTGCACTCCCCAGATCTCCAGGACTTTCCCTGCCCCAGCGCCACCCGTGTGGCCTAGTGGCTAAGAGTGTCGGACTAGTCTCCGGAAAACTCGGGTTCAAATCCCTACTCCTGCCCCAGAAGCTCGCCGAGTAGCTTTGGTGTCATGGTTAAGTGCGTGGACTCTAATCTGGGAGAACCGGGTTTGATTCCCCACCTCTCCACTTGCGGCTGCTGGATGACCTTGGGCAAGCCGTAGTTCTGATAAGAGCTGTTCTTAAAAAAGAGCAGTTTCTGTCAGAGCTCTCTCAGCCCCACCTACCTCACAGCGTACCTGTTGTGGGGAGGGGAAGGGAAAGGAGTTTGTAAGCCACCCTGAGACTCCTTTGGGTAGTGAAGGGCAGGGTATAAATCCAGTCTCTTCTTCTTTTACCTCACAGGGTGCGGGAAGGAGTTTGTAAGCCACTCTGAGACTCCTTTGGGTAGTGAAGGGCAGGGTATATATCCAATCTTTTCTCTTCTGTTTGGGTCAGTCACACTTTCTCAGCCTAACCTACCTCACAGGGTTGTTGTGAGGGTGAAATGGAGGAGAGGAGAATGACATACGCTGCCGTGGGTCCCTGTTGTGGACAAAGGCAGGCTATAAATGAAACACATAAATAAATACCTACTCAAGTTCAGCAGCAGCTCCTGGAGCACTAACAAAATCCTATATTTTTATTCTGGGTTAATTAATCCTGAATAACAGATAAAAGGAAGGACTTCTTCACCCAAAGAGTCATTAACGCAAGGCATTCACTGCCTGCAAGAAGTGGTGGTGGCTACAAGCATAGACAGCTCCAAGAGGGGACTAGCTAAACATACGGAGCAGAGGTCCATCAGTGGCTATGTGTCAGGTTCTATAGTCAGATCACACCACACAGCACTTCATAAGAAGTATTCTGTTTATTGGTAGTTCATAACTATGACACGTGAACGTTTTTTGTCAGGAATGGTCCAAAGCAGCAGGACACCCAAAGTTATAGTAGTTTCAAAGCACCCCCCCATTACAAGGAGAAGCCAGTAAGCATTGTGCATGGTACGCACACGCGGGGGAAGAGTGAGCGGGCGAAAATAGGAGCCGTTTGTTCCCAGCAGGTCAGGTGCAGCGGGAACCCCAAGGTCAGAAAAGCATACACGTATAACAACCCAGACAGGAAGGAGGATCACCTCCCACACATTCCAAAGACATGGCAGTGTTAACTGACACTATGAACCACAAGTTATAGATGGAAGGGATGCTCTGTATTTTTGGTGCGGGGGGGCAATGGGGGGGGCCTTCTTGAGTTCTGGTCCCGCTGGTGGACCTCCTGATGCCACCTGGGTCTTGGCCACTGTTTGGCACAGAGTGTTGGACTGGATGAGCCATTGGCCTGATCCAACATGGCTTCTCTTATGTTCTTAACTGTTCAGCTGTGTTCCTTCGTTCAAAATCGCTAGTATTGATTGAGAAATCCCACTGCATGCGTTGCTTGGACAGTAATTACAAGTCTGCCCCTGTAGACTGGGTTCTGTAGGTTTCCCATCTCTATGTCCTGAGGGTCTCAAGTTTTACGCTCTCTCTCATGCAGGCTATAACACTATGATCTGTGATCATATGAGGGCTGTGTATTTCTACAAAAGTGCCTTGGAGGACTCCTGCCCCTTGATGGCTTTTCCCTGCTCCAGTTACCGGGATTTCTTAGCTGGCCACTGCGTGTACTGCACAGACTCAAGTTTGGCTTCCTGCCCCACAGTAGGTACGTTGCGCCTCTCGGCATCAGTCACTACAATCAGACTTACCCAAGTGCCCAGGAATTGAAAATTTAGTGCGTTATTTGGAATCCAGAGAAGGCAGTGGCCTCGTGGTCTTTTTAGGGAAATAAAGGGCTTTTCCGCATTCTGATTTTTCTTGCTTGTAAGTTCCTGCTTCTTCAGGGTTTTCTCTCCCCATTCTGCTAATGTTTTGCTCCCTCTAGTGGTCAATTCAATATTACACCAGTGTAAGTCCAGCATAGAAACCTGCATTTTAAATCTGCAGGGAGATAGGCCAGGCGTGAATTGATGTAATATTGAATCGACCACTAGAGGGAGCAAAACACGGGCAGAACAGACACCCCCCCCAAAAAAAAGAAACAGGAACTTACAATTGAGGAAATTGAGAATGTGGGAAAGCCCCAAATAAACTTTTAAGGTAGGAGGAAAAGTGAAATGAGTCTGACATGTTTTTTTAACAACACACAGGAATTTCTATACAAGTAGGAAATGGATGGCTGGGGGGGGATCGCAGTGGATCAGTGACTGAAGCAGTGCTACCAAGTCGTGTTGCCAACTCTCTGCTGGGAAAATCTTGGAGATTGGGGGATAGACCCTGAAGTTTGGGGAGGGGAAAGACCTCAGTAGGGTACAGGGCCATAGAGACCACCTTCCAAAGTAGGCGTTTTCTCCCGGAGAACTGATTTCTGTCATCTGCAGATGTTTTCTCCCGGAGAACTGATTTCTGTCATCTGCAGATCAGTTGTAATTCAAGATCTCCAGGCCCTGCCTGGAGCTTGGCAACCCCCCACCAAGAGAGGGTCCAGAGCAGTGCTCCGTCTAAGCTGTGGAGTCTAGTGAGCCAAAATTGTACTTTGTGAGCGACTGGCATTAAAGTTGTGAGCGAGCGAATTGGCTGCTGCATAAATTAGTTTGCTCTGGAGCCCTCCTTCCTGAGCTAAGACAAAAATGTATGAGCCGGAGGCTAAAAACTGTGAGCTAGCTCACACTAACTTAGCTTAGAGGAAACACTGGTCCGGAGAGACAGCATTTCCTGGCCCCTGGTCATCCCAAGTGTCCAAGAGGTTGGCAAGTCATGCGATTTGTTGCCAAATTGAGCTTGGAGTGGGTCTGGGTGGAGTGAGCCGGGGCAGAGGGAAACTTTTGTCCACAGCCTGGGGTGGGGGACTGGCTAGTTCAGTCGTCCTCACCTCCAACCAACAGTTTCTGAGTCATTGTTTCCTACTAAATAAAGGAGAACAACTTCGAAACCTTGATGCTGCCACAGAGCCTCTGCTTTGTACCAAGGGATTCCAACCAGGGGAGCAAAACTGGGGTTTTTTCATAGAAAAAGAGGTGCAGGAGCTCATTAGCAGAACTCATTAGCAGAACTTATTTGCATATGCCACACCCCCTGATATCACCGGAAGTGTGTCAGAAGGCAACACCCACCGCTCAGGCTCCACTGGACTGTTTTGGATTGCTAGCTATTGGAGGGGGGACGTGCAGATCTGTCCTCACAGAGGAGGGAGAGCTTGTACCTGAATAAACTTGGTCTTAAAGGTGCCACTGGACTGTTTTGGACCGGGGGGGCCACTGCGACTTACCTGGCTGCTTCTTGCTCTGACTGAGGGCTGCTGGGAGCAGGGGGTGGGGCTTGTTGCATGTGCCTGCCCCCTGGGCTCTTTACTGCCGGAGCTCTGCTCCTGTGTGCTCCTGCATGAAATGACCACTGTTTAAATGACTAATGCAAAACATGACCAGCATGTTATTTTTTAAGTTACTTATTTATTTACTTCATTTATACCCCACCTTTCTACTCAGTGGGGAGACCCAAAGCAGCTTACAACATGGTTTACCACTCCTTTGAGGGAGTGTGTGACTGGCCCAAGGCCCCCCAGCCGGCTTCCATGGCCAAGTGGCAGGGTTGCCAGCTCTGGGTTGTGAAATACCTGGAGATATTGGGGGGCGGGGCCTGGGGAGGGGAGGGGCCTCAGTAGGGGTCCAGTGCCACAGAGCCCACCCTCCCGAGCAGCCATTTTCTCCAGGGGAGCTGATCTCTGTTGTCTGGAGATTGGTTGTAATCGTGGGGGATCTCCAGGCGCCACCTGGAGGTTGGCAATGAATGGGGATTTGAACTTGAGTCTCCCAGGTCCTAGTCTGACATTTGAAACACTACACCACATTGGGTGCAGTCAGACGGCGTGCTGGGAGCGGTTTAAATTGCTCCGGCCCCGATGCGGTCTTTTTTAACCCGGAGAATCACGATCAGACTCACCTCCTTGCTCTGGATCGCTGCGCAGCCACATCGCTTCCCGCTGTCCACACGCGTGCTTCGCTGTTGTTTCTCTCTCTCTCTCTCTCTCTCTCAGTTTGGGCATGCGCACAGGCAGCCATCTGTAGAACTAAAATTTTTGTGCGTGTGCAGAACAGCGATTTCCACTTCAACCCGACTGATGTAACACTTCCCTTTAAACGTTTACCCCGAAAATGGCCTCCATGAGATCCCGAACTCATCTAAATGCTAAAACTAGACACCGTTTAAACATTGTTTTTAATAACGCAGTGGCGGACCTCTGCCTATGCGCACACCGACAACGCTTTTTAAAAAATGGCGGGCAAAAAGCGGAAGCCTCGGGCAGCTTTTGAGCGGGGAGGGGGGTTTAAACCAGAAGTGACTCGACACTGCAGGAGCGATCAGACATCAGAAAAGTGCGGCTGGAACTGGAGAATCAGGAAAACACCACTTGGGCACCTGGTAACAAAATACTCCGGGTTAAAGCGGTTTTGAGCCGGAAAGCGACGGCTGGGGACCGGAGGCAGATGTTGACTGTCTGATTGCGCAGATAAAATCCATTTCTGAGGCGGGCCGAAAGCGGACTAAACGGCCCGTCTGACTGCACCCATTGGGTCTCTTAAAAGCACAGGCCCAAAAAAGGAGATTCGAAGCGAAAGAATATCGCTCTCACGAACCACACCTCACAGGTAAAAGAGGGACTTTTGAAAAGCTTTGGATCCTACACACCAGACATTCATTCACAGCCCCAAAAAAGCACAGGCCTCAAGCAATCTCTAGTGTTTAAAACCTCTGCCTGATAAGATCAGCTGATATAGCATGTCATTTATTCACCCTGGTCTCCTGATTCCCCCACCCTTCAAGGCAAAGTTTTTCAGCATAAGTCATCAAACCAGTGTGAATTAAAGTTCTTCCGTTCAGGTATTTCAAAATGAGGTTTGACAGGAGGTTTTGTGGTTTTCCTGTTTTCGCCGTTTCAGAATCCCTCTGATGAAATTTGTGTTGGGTTACGGAGAATGTCATGCAGGGAGCTCGGGTGATCTGCCCCTTTCCTCTAGATGATAACGTGAAACAATCCGCGTTGGGGGGTGGCATTGCAAGTGGGTGAATCCTCATAGGGCTTTAGGGACTTGGGAATGTTCAGTCTGGAGGAGAGGAGGTTGAGAGGGGACCAGGAGTGCTCTCTTGAAGGATTTGAAGAGCTGTCACTCAGAGGAGGCGCAGGGAGCTGTTCCTGGAGGAGAGGACTCGCAATAACGGGTTTAAATTAAGGGCGGGAAGGTGCCGGCTAGATCTTAGGAAAGACTTTTTGACAGAGTTGTGCAAGAGTGGAATCTGCTGCCTGGGGAGGTGGTGAGCTCCCCCTCCCTGGCAGTCTTCAAGCAGCGTCTGGACAAACACTTGTCAGGGATGCTCTTGGCCGATCCTGCGTTGGGCAGGGGGTTGGACTGAATGGCCTTTAGGGCCCCTTCCAGCCTCTGTGATTCTATGATTCTGTGATCATAAGAATCACGGTCCAGTTGGGAAGTCATCGGATCCCAGCCCATACTCCCTGCCCAGGTTCCAGGTGCCTTTGTAGTTTAAAGAAGAGATTTTAAAAATTATTATTAAGCCATTTTCCACCCTCAAGTCAAGACAGACAAAAGAGAAGTCTGAATCTTTATAAAAAAAAAAAAAGCAGGGCCAATCCTCAGACCGAGAAGAAGAGATTTTTATACCCCGCTTTATTCTACCAACTCTGGGGAAACCTTTACCTTATTCTACCTCCTAGAGTCTCAAAGCAGCTTACAATCTCTTCCCGTCCTCCAAAGCTATTGGATATCTTAGGGTGCGGTCACACATGCCAGATAAAACGGGCGGGCGGGAGCAAGGCTATTTCCTCTGGAAGAATTCGACCCGCAGTTGTGAGATCACACCTCCCGTCGAAGCTGTGGGTGATCAGTGTGTGATCAGATGCAACTGCAGGTGAGTTGGGGGGGGGGTTGCTGTTTGTTCCCGATGCACTTAAACAGGGAATTGATGGATTGCATCTCAGCACTGAGGACTCCCTATGGAGTGTGTGATGATGGACATACTGAGAAGGGGGGAAAACAACGGCGCGGAGATGGGATGGCCTGATCAGACCATCCTGACGGCATGAGAGTGCGCTGGAGCGATCAGATACAGGAAAGTCTGTCTGTGGCCCATTGCAACCCGTTTGCTACCGGAATTCCCCCGGTGTCTTTTAACTCCACTTCTGCAGCGGAGCAGAACAGGTTGCTGATGGCTGCGGGGCGCTTCCCAGATGATGATGTTGTCTGATCGCGCCCTTTAAATCCGCCTGGAATTCAAACATATGTCAGGTCTAATTGTGCCTACGATCGCAGCCTTATTCTGCTTCTCCCTGCCGCATCTGAGATTTCTCCACAGCCATTCACTTTCCAGCTTTTATTTTCCTAGACACGAGGGCTAGAACCTCCTCTTGTGTTTAAAGCCGCCCTGAGCCCGCTCGCGGGGAGGGTGGGGTATAAATACAACACAATAAATAAATAAAATAAAGGAACACTGAGAGTTCCAAGAAGGCAGGATTGCATTCTAACACTAGATGCCGTATTTGCAGAAGTGGCGGCATTTGCTCTGCGTGATCTGCCTTTGAGCCCCAGCAGGAAAGGCGGGCTATAAATAACGTAAATAAAGAGATACGCACAACCCAGCTCTCGGTGCCAGCGGCTCTTCTGCAGCGTGTTCTTTTCTCATTTTAGGGCTCTTGGACAATGGCGGAATCGACACGAAACCACTGCCCAGAGAGGTGAAAGTTTACTTGGCCACAGCTGCCTCTACGCCGTACTGTGGTGAGTAGCCAAATGGCACATCCAGGAGGCCTGGGGTAGGGCTGCCAGGTCGGGATTGGGAGATCCCTGGAGATTGGAGGGTGGGGTTTGGGGAGGGCGGGGTTTGGGGAGGGGAGGGACTTCCGCAGGATGTGAAGGCCTAGACGCCTTCCTCGAAAACACCCGTTTTCTCCAGGGGAGTTGATCACTGTCGTCTGGAGATCAGTTGTAATACTGGGAGATCTCCAGGCCCCACCTGGCAGTCAAAAACGCAACCTGGGGGCTTGGTTGTGGGGTGTGCCTGTGATGTTATTCTAGGGAGACCACCCAGAATGCAGAATCCCATAGACAACCAGGATAGGGTTGCCACGTCTTGCCTGCGTCCCAGTAGGGGGCTCCAGCCTGACTCCCAGGGTCTTCTGGTGTGTATGTGAAGTGCATGCTCTGCAATGACATCATCCGGAAGTGACATCATTGCTCCGGGCATGTTATTCAGGGGACGCTCTAGCATTTGGGTAAAAAACTCTATGGTCACCATAGAGGTTTTACCCAAATGCTAGAGCATCCTCCACATGATGTGCTGGGCACGTCGGGCACAATGGGGCTATTCAGGGGCGGGGCTCCCCCGCTGGCCAGAGGCAGATTGGGGCCCCCGAAAGTGGGAAAATTCCTGCCCCCATCGGGGGGATGGCAACCTTAACCCAGGATTCGATAACACTTGCTTTCTCTGCACTTGAAGAGACTGAATGTGTGGATGGACTCTACTGAAAAACACTGTGTAAGGCAGGGGTCCCCAATGTGGTGTCCATGGGCGTCATGGTGCCCCCCCATCATCTTTCCTGGCACCCATCCACTCTTTTTAGAATGTGGGTAGGGCCAACTGGGGCTCTTGCCCAGCAAGGCTTCTGGCTGCCCATTGGAGATTTGATTGGCTGTGGCAAGAGCTGCCATCAAACCACCAGGATCTTCAGTGTGCGACTGAAGGTAAGCTGTGGCAGCCATTTTGTGGCTGGCTCTGCCTGCCGTGGCCGCCATTTTGTAGCAGCTGCTTTGTGACTGTGCCCGCCACGCTGTGTCAGAAATCCCGAGGTGCCCACAGGCTCGAAAAGGTTGGGGAGGACAGACCCCTGGTGTAAGGGGATGGAAAGAGGTAGCTCTTCCTGAGATCCGTGACGGCCCGTTCACACATGCTGATTGTCACATGCCATAATCATCGTCAAACCGGCTCTGAGAGTGTGTCTCCTCTGCTGTGGACCAGGTCTGTACCTCAGGAAAGCCACTCAACTGGAGACTGGTTCTTAGGAACCAAGTGTCCTTGACATCCACTTCCTGTCACAGATTTACTTGCTTCCTGGGATCGAGCTTCAAAGGAACAGGAACGTCTGCCACCAGAATAAGAACTGCTGAACAGGCAGGTTTCAAAGACTTACAGCGCTCAGGGCCGGGAATGTAGAACCGAGAGTTTTTTACAATGAAAAATTCCTTCCCTTGTCACGAGTGAGCTAGTCAAATTCTCCTCCACACAGAGGAATACCACTGGGTTTGTTTTTTCCCCTTCCTACATCCTGGGTGGTTGCACAAAAGATGTAGCAGACTTCTGTTAATTCCAGCCGCACAGACCATTTAGTGTGGCTCTCTCTATTGCTTAGTGCACCACAGCCTGGTTGAAGTTCGTTTGCAGCAGAGGAGAACGTCGGATACCAGCATTGAGATCAATTTCTGGGGCAGAAACTCGACCTTTAGCATCACCATCACTGTGTAAGTAACTGTGGATGATTGCAATGTTCCTCCGCTGTCTTTGTCCCTTTTTCTCTGCTGGGAAGGGCTTTTTCTGCTGCATGTTACTGAGAGGGGTCGTGGCTCAGTGGTAGAGTCTCTGGTTTGCATGCAGAAGGTCCCAGGTTCAGTCCCCGGCATCTCCAGTTGAGAGGACCAGGTGGAAGGTGATGTGGAAGTCCTTTGCCTGAGATCCTGGTAGAGCTGCTGCCAGTCTTAGTAGACAATATTGACTTTGATGGACCAAGGGTCTGATTCAGTATAAGGGAGCTTCATGTGTGCTCAGTTGCCTATCTGCACAAAGTGTCATTATAGCAGTAGCACGGAAGGCCAGATAGGTTGATCATTTATTTATTATCAGTTTGGTGTAGTGGTTAGGAGCGCGGACTTTAATCTGGGAGAACCGGGTTTGAATCCCCAGTCCGCCACATGCAGCTGCTGGTGTGACCTTGGGTCAGTTACAAGTTTTCTCAGAGCTGTTCTTTTGAGAGCAGTCCTCGAAAGAGCTCTCTCAGCCCCACCTACCTCACAGGGTGTCTGTTGTGGGGAGGGGAAGGGACAGGAGATTATAAGCCGCTCTGAGACTCCTTCCGATAGTAAAGTGTGGGGTATAAATCCAATTTCTTCTCTTCTCTCTTCATCAATTAGTTAAAAAAATTTTTTGGCCCTGATTGTAGCCTGAATGCAGAATAAAAGGGTACAAGATACACAAGTGGGGCCCATTGCGACCAGGCGCGTTTCAGCCAAAGTGGCCTTCTTCAGTGGTCAAGCCATATTTGTACCTATAGGCTCAATGATACAACAATGAGACAATAAATAAATCAACAGAGGACCAAAAAAGGAGTTTTGTAGTTACAATCAATTGACGCAAGGCCTATGAATATTGGTGAGGCCTTGTGTCATGGTCAGATATAGGTGTCCTGAATAGTATTACTTATTGTAAGCCTTCCTATTTTGATCCAGAAGATACAATCAAATCAGAGCCAACGTACAAAAATGCTGTAACTCTACAGGCTACCATTGATCCCATAATTGTTTTTAACTAATTGATAATAAATACATGTAGTTTTGATAATAATTAAGAATAGATTCTTTTGAACTATGGTGCTGGAGAAGGCTCTTGAGAGTCCCTTGGACTGCAAGGAGGTCAAATCAGTCAATCTTAAAAGAAATGGACCCTGACTTTTCCCTGGAAGGCCAGATACTGAAGCTGAAGCCCAAGTACTTTGGCCACCAAATGAGAAGGGAGCACTCACTGGAGAAGACCCTGATGCTGGGGAAGATCGAAGGTAACAGAAGAAGAGGACGACAAAGGATGAGATGGTTAGACGGTGTTATCATCAGGGGTCATTTCGTAGCAAAAGAGGTGCAGGAGCTCATTAGCATAACTCATTAGCATAACTCATTTGCATATGCCACACCCCCTGACATCACCGGAAGTGTGTCAGAAGGCAACACCCACTGCTCAGGCTCCACTGGACTGTTTTGGATTGCTAGCTATTGGAGGGGGGGGAACGTGCAGATCTGTCCTCGCAGAGGAGGGAGAGCTTGTACCTGGGTAAAACATGGCCTTGAAGGTGCCACTGGACTCTTTTGGACCAAGGGGCCGGGGGGGGCTCTGCAACTTACCTGGCTGCTTCTTGCTCTGACTGAGGGCTGCTGGGAGCAGAGGGTGGGGCTTGTTGCATGTGCCCACCCCCTGGGCTCTTTACTGCCGTAGCTTCGCTCCTGTGGGCTCCTGCAGGAAATGACCCCTGATTATCAGTGCAACGAACATGAAATTAAGCAAACTCCGGAGCATGACGGAAGACAGGAGGACCTGGCGTGATGTGGTCCACGGGGTCGCGAAGAGTCGGACTCGACTGTTCGACTGAACAACAACAACAAAGTTATAGTTTTTAGTCATTGGCCCTCTAGTACGTATGTAACTAAACTTCCAGGTGCTGGATTCATTTGTTTTGGGTTAAGTCTCCCCCCCCCGCTCCCCCCCCCGCTCCCCCCCCCCAGTCCCTGGAGCCAAACCTGCCGGAAGCTAAGACCAAGTGGCAGGGTCTTATGTAGAGTTGTTAAGAGAACTTCTCTTAATTCTTCTCTACCCACTTTCTCCCTGAAATCCAGCAGTCCTTCACTTTTCCTGTTTTCGGATATTTGGAGTCAGTTTTGTAATCCATTCCGTTTTGATCAAAGAGAAATTCAAAGAGATACGGGCAGGAAGAGGTTCAGGCTGAATTTCAGAATTTCACCCTGTAGATATTCAGAGGCAGTCAGTAGTGCGCTCCCAAACGTCCTGTCCTCCAGCTACAGCGCCACCCAGTGGTGCTTGACATAAAGCAACCACAAGAGCGGATGATGAAGGCACTAATTCAATTTTTTTTTATTAATACGGTCATTGACCAAATACATAAAAGAACCGAAAAGACATCAGCCGGTAAAACAGTAAAATGCATACAGACGCTATCCAGAAAAACAAACATTAAAATGTTAGGAATAAAATTAAAATATTACTAGATAATTTAAAAATTCTATTTAAGTATAATATTCACTATCTAACTGCTAATAGCTTGTCTCCAGATTTTGATCGCCTGCATGGCAAATCTTGCCATGTTTAAAGCAGTTTCCTGCTCTTTGTCAGCCAGCAACTTATCTAGGTAAAATCTTTCATTTCTCCCAGGGAATCGAGAACAAATCGGGGTTATGTAAATGTCTCTAATACTTTGATACATTTTACATTCGAACATCATATGTTCCCTCGTTTCTACCTTCCCCTCTCCACAGATACACAATCTTTCCTCATAAGGTTGTCTTTTGTATTTACCTTCTAAAACTGCAGATGGAAGCATATCGGCTCTGAGCAGGGTAAATGCTATAGTCAGGTTTATCTAAGTTTTGTAAATATACCATTGGATTAACAGGTTTAATATTAAGAGATTCTATAGTGCCACCCTGGATTAAAGAAATAGAACTTAAATTGGGCTATTACGGACTTTCTAAGCAATTCCTGGTTAATATGGATTATAATCGAGTAAAAAAACCCTGTTAAGCAAAGAATCGTGGATGTTGAAAGGCAACATGATTTGAACTTGATAAAGCGATATCTGCCAGGAAGGGTGGGACCAAATAAGGTAACACAAGAGCGGAGGTTACCAAGGGTCAATGTGGGCAGCTGTTGTGGTCTGAAGCAATACAGCAAAGGTAGAGTCCAATGGCACCATTAAGCCCAACACATTTTTATTCAAGATGTGAGCTTTCGTGTGCATGCACACTTTGTCAGGCAATGGAATCCCGTTTCATCGTCCGACAAAGTGTGCGTGCACACGAAAGCTCACATCTTGAATAAAAATTTGTTGGGCTTAAAGGTGCCACTGACTTTGTTACCAAAGGGTATATCAGTTTCTCTTCAAAGAGAAATCAAAGAGAAACGAAGGAGAAATTTTCGAAGAAAGAGATTACGAGGAATCAGTGGCTAAATACTTGGGAAAAGACATTCCACTCCCCATAACAATATTAGTTTTCTAGCATGTGTGGTTGCCAGATCCAGGTTGGGAGACCCCTGGAGATTTGGGGATGGAGCCTGGGGAAGACAGGGACCTCAGTGGGGTGCAATGCCATAGAATCCACCCTCCAAAGCATCCGTTTTCTCCATGGGAACGGATCTCTGTAGTCTGGAGATGAGCCGTAATTCTGGGGGGTCTCCAGGTCCCACCTGGAGGCTGAAGCAACCCGAGCTGCAGTGTTAGGAGACTCTAGTAACAAATAAATATACACTGCAAAAACCTTTTAGCAAACCAATGTGTTCTATTTATGGTAATCATTTAGTAAAGTGCATAGTGTATCATTGTTTCATCCTAGTCAGGTATAAAATATTCATTACATTCAATAAGCAATAACATTCAATACATACAGACTGCTAACTACCAGACAATTTTGCATCAGTGTTTTAAAAGTCAAGCCCCAACAGGAGTTTCTAGAATTATAAGCCCGCTTCTTCTTGCATGAAGTCTTCCAAAAAGGGGGACAGCCTTCTTGTATGGATGTTTTTTGCCGGTCCTACAAAAGACACATTATGCAGCTAACATTCATGGATGGAGTACTCCTGTCATTCTCAAAGCTGCATTTGTTACTCCAGTCCCGTAGCTAAGGACTTTTTACGGAGGGGGCCGTCTGCTAATCCAATCAAAGGCTCCAGGGCAAGGGCTGCAGCAGCCACAGCCTCCGGGTCCAGCTCCCGCCCCCCAAGGAGCCCCAGTGCCTCTTCCCACAGCACAGCACCAGGGACAGCCTCTGAAACCACTGCCCTTGTCCTCCCTGCCAACAGGCTGACAGGCAATCAGGGGGAGTTGGGGTAGGGGAGCCGAGGCTCAGGAAGAGGCCCCATAAAAACTGCTAGGGGGGCAGGCCCCGTGGGCCCTGCATTAGCTACGGGCCTGTATTAGACCCAGCTGGAGGCTGGCATGTGGTATCCCTAGTGTATAGCCAAGAAGCAGTTGCAGCAGCTCTCTTCTGCTACCTCCCCCCCCCGGGAATCTGTCCCCCACTTGAAACCCAGGAGCTCATCCCCTTCCCCGATCTATAAACCTAAAAAGACATAATTATGATGTGAGTTTGTGTCTACATTCATGAGTTCTTCCAGGAGTTAATAACTGAACTCTGGCAGCCAAACAAAAGTGTATTTAGCAGACGCAAAAAGGCACCTGTGCTTACTCACTTCCCTTGCTGGACTTTGCAGGCCCAAGCTGGAGACCGTGGGCAAAAGCCTGGCGATTCACTCCACACCATTGTGCCAGATGGAGAGAGTGGCATTCCTCTACCACCCCAAGAGCTGGAGAAGGAGCAAGGAGGCAGATCCAGTTGTCCACCAGTTTTGTGCTGCTCCCCTTCCTGTGGATCCGAGGTAAGCGAGAAGGAACCACGAGAGCCAGTTTGGTTTAGTGGTTGGGAGCGCGGACTCTAATCTGGGAGAACCAGGTTTGATTCCCCACTCCTCCACATGCAACTGCTGGGTGACCTTGGGCAAGCCATAAGTTCTGTCAGAGCTGTTCTCTCAACAACAGATCTCAAAGAGCTCTCTCAGCCCCACCTACCTCACAGGGTGTCTGTTGTGGAGAGGGGAGGGGAAAGGAAATTGTAAGCTGCTCTGAGACTCTGAGTGAAGGGTGGGGTATAGATCCAATCTCGAATCTCAAGCACAAATACTGGATGGGGGATACGTTTCTGGGCAGTAGTGTATGCGAAAGAGATCTTGAGGTAAGGGTGGGCTGTAAACTAAATATGAGCAGTGGGTGTGATGCAGTGGCAAAAAAGGCAAATTCAGTCTTGGGTTGTATTAAAAGGGCCATAGCATCGGAATCGCAGGAGGTCATAGCCCCGCTGTATGCTGCCTTGGCCAGGCCGTACCTGGAGTCCTGTGTGCCATTCTGGAGGCCTCACTTCAAAAAGGATATGGACAAAATCGAGAGTGTGCATAAGAGAGCGACGAGGATGATCGGGGGTCTGGAGACTGAGCCCCAGAGGTCATTTCCTGCAGGAGCGGTGCTCCGCCAGTAAAGAGCCCAGGTGGCGAGCACATTTGCTACTCTTCAGTCTTCTGGTACAGCAGCTGAATTTAATGACAGGTTACGTATCACATCTGAGGTCCTTAAGAACTCTCGGGTGTATACCATCAGGACCTGGAGACTATCGTTTTTTAATTTCCTTAGCAGGTGTAGAACTACACCTCTGGTCACCTCAATTTGACTCAGTTCTTCAGACTCCCCTCCTGAAAGTAGGGGTTGTGGCACTTTCCACAGTGAATGCAGAACCAAAGCTTCTCTGCCATCTCCCCATCTACCTTCAGCAATCCCTTTATTCCTTTGTCATGCAAAGGCTTCTGGATGTATTTTTTTAAAAATGTGTATTTTGGTGTAGGAGTAAGGAGCATGGACTCTAATCTGGGAGAAACGGGTTTGATTCCCCACTCCTTCACATGCAGCTGCTGTTGTGGCCTTGGGTCAGTTACAAGTTCTCTCAGAGCAGTTCTCGAAAGAGCTCTCTCAGCCCCACCCACCTCACAGGGTGTCTGCTGTGGGGAAGGGAAGGGAAAAGGAGTTTGTAAGCCCCTCTGAGACACCTTCGGGTAGTGTAGGGCAAGGGTATCCATTCAATCTCTTCTTCTCCTTTCCTATACTAAAATAAGTTTAAAAACGTATCTTTGGGGTTTTTTTATATAACATTTTTATTTTTACAACAAATACACAAGACAAACAAACAAAAAAGGAAGGTATTGTAGGGCAATTGATGCTTTGGTATGCCTGCACCTTCACCTTTTTAAAGGACTCCTTTGGCTTTGTTACCATCCCCCTAACTGAAGAGATGCCAACCTCCAGGCGGGGCCTGGAGATATCCAGAAATGATGACTGATCTCCAGACGACAGAGATCAGTTCCCTGGAGAAAATGGCTGCTCTAGAGGGTGGACTCTATGGGCCCTATACCCCGCTGAGGCCCCTTCTCTCACCAAACGCTGCTCTCCCAGGCTCCACCCCTCAAATCTCCAGGAAATTTCAACCTAGACTTGGCACTCCTGTGTCTAACTTCACCCTGTTCCTCTTGCAGTGAGAAGATGTTCTGCCTGACTCAGACGATGACCCTGACCGGAAAAAACAGCCCTTCCTATGACTTGGCCATGGCGTGTCCGACTACCACAGCGCCCCCAGTGGATACAGAGACAATGACAGAACCCTGGTGATAAAGTGTGCCAGAAGCTGGTTTTGCTCACCTTCTCTGCCCTGAAGATAGAGGCCCGGCAATGTTGCTTATGTCTGTTTGAACCACACCGACTGCACCTACAATGCCTGTGTGTCTCCACCCAAAGCCACAGAATTTTTACAATCAAGAAGACATAGGGTCGCCAGGTCCTTCCTAGTCCCCGGTGGTGGTGGGGCTTTGAGGGGCATTCTTGGAGGAGGCGGGGACGTCCCCAACATGATGACATCATGAAAAAGTGATGTCATCATGCTGGGGACTGGCACCCCATGTGCCTCTACTCCAAGCGGCAAATTCACCGCCTGGAGTTCAGGCGCGCCCTCCCCCACTTCTTGCCCAAAGCATTTAAAGCACGGTTGTCGAACTCATTTGTTATGAGGGCCGGATCTGACATACATGAGACCTTGTTGGGCTGGGCCGTGTGTGTCATAAAATGTAATGCCAGGTAGTGGAATCATTGCTCTCAGGGCTTTTTTTGTAGCAAAAGCCCAGCAGGAACTCACTAGCATATAATAGGCCACACCCTGACACCACAGTTTATTAGCATATTAGGCCGCAGCCCCGTGTTGCCAGAAATGTGGTCATCCAGCCACACCCACCTTTTGCTTCTTATTCTGTTTACCTTGTTTGTTGACAAAACCCAGGGCCTTTTTTTGTAGCAGGGACTCCTTTGCATGTTAGGCCACACACGCCTACTGTAGCCAATCCTAATGAGTTTCTGCTGTTGGGTGTGGCCTATTATGCTAATGAGTTCCTGCTGGGTGTGGCCAACTCAGGAGCCAGCCGGAACTCCGTTCCTGTGTGTTCCTGCCCAAAAATAGCCCTGATTGCTCTGAATGATTGCATCAAAATGTCTGTGCTGTTGCAATCTTGAGTATGCTGTTCAGGTGTGTATCTGTAAGCTGCAAACCCACGATGATGCAGCGGCAGCAGAACTGGAAGAAGAAGCAGAAGACAGACAGTTCCGCTGTGGGCCTGATAGGAGCTCTCCGGGGGCCTAATCTGGCCCCTGGGCCGCATGTTTGACACCCCTACTTTAAATGGTCCCTTTAAGCAGTTAATTTGCCGCTTGAAGTTCAGGCGCCCCCCTCGCTTCTTGCCCAAAGCATTTAAAATGCTTTGGGCAAGAAGGGGGGGGGGCTGAACTTCAAGTGGAGAATTTGCTGCTAGGAGTTCAGGGGTGTGACCAGCAGCTGCCCCTCTCCCTTCCCTCCTGCAAGATTTAAATGGCCTTCCAGCCAATTCCTGGGATCTTTACTGCCGGAGCTCCGTTCCTGTGCGCTCCTGCAGGAAATGACCCCTGCTTCTAAGTATTACCCCCACAACATGCAATCTGCAGTAGCCATGATGTGCCCAATTCTCTTTCATCCAGTGAAACAGGAGATGTGGAGATATTTTATTTTTGCATGCCTGTGTGTGCTGTTTCATGAAGGGAGAACTACTACCGATTTCTCCAATGCTAGCAACCCAATGCCTTCCATTTTGATTTGAACGTTTCCACAGACCCCTAAAGCCCCTCCCCACACTCCTCCCTTGCTGGTGCCGGCCGTTCACCGGAAAGCCCCTTTGCCTCAGAAATGGAGCCCCTTTCTCCCCCTCGCTGCCTCCACAGGCACTTCTCCATCCAGGAGGCAGGACATGGCCAACCTCCGCTTCTTCCTGGCCCTTTCAAAAGTGTTCCCAACAAGACACACATGACCTGTGGCGGTCTCCGTCCCTCTCGTGAGAGGTCCGAGGCCATAGCGGCCATCTTGGCCAGTGTCTTCCACATTTCTGCTCAGTGACTGCCACTGTCTACCGCAGCAGACAGAGCCCTAAAGGTGAGCATCTTTTCCAGTTAGATGGTCAGCCCCGTTCAGGTGAGATGCTCAGACAGATTTCACGGACAACCCCCCCCCCCAAGAGTACCCTCCCAGGCCACAGTTTGGGAAACGCTGAACTGACAGGCCCTGAGCAGAGAGCCAGGACCTTTGACTAGCTACACCATTGTCTTTCCACGACGTTTAATGACAGAACCCCGTGCCAAGTGTTCGAGAATACAGACTCGCCGAGAAAGCCGGTGCCGATCCACAAGCTGTGGGAAGGTGTCCTACCAACACACGCCGGTCTCATGCAGGTGCTTCAAAGAGTGTCATGCAGGTGTCTGTGAAACGCACACACTGACACACGAATAATGAACACTGTTTGGATCAGACATGGGCGACTGGTTGTGCGGGGGCGGCCTTTGCAGTCCCAAGTGGTCATTCCCTAGAGTTCTGGGGTCTGAGTGGGAGCCAGCGGGGCTCGCCCTTTGGCGAGGGCCTGGCGATTGTTTCTTGGGAGGCTTCCGGAGGCTGCAAGAAGAAGAGAGAGACTGTTATTCCCTTCTGGAATCAGTTGAACCAATCCTATAAACCAGGGGTGTAGAACTCATTTTGTTATGAGGGCCGGATCTGACATAAATGAGGCCTTGTTGGGCTGGGCCACGTGTGTCATAAAATGTAATGCCAGGTAGCAGAGATAGAAACTTTATAAAGGACACAAACACAAAGGGTTTTTTTTACTTAAAATAAAAACAGGCTTAAAACATCAGCACTCTTGCAATATTTTGTTTATTGAACAGTGTCTGATAACTGACACCTCTTGCTCTGAATTCTTGCATCAAAATGTCTGTGCTGTTGCAATCTTGAGGATGCTGTTCAGGTGTGTATATGTAAGCTGCAAACCTACGATGACGCAGCCTGAGCTGCATGTTTGACATCCCTGCTATAAACCCAGTACATCTGCAGGAAAACTTCAGGGCCAGTGGAATCACAGTTCCTTTGCAGAGGCTTCCAACCTGCCAAGTGTTTTTAGAAGGTAGAGGGGGTCAGGTGAGGCTTTTGCCAGCAAGGCTTCTGATTGGCCACTGGAGATTTGATGGGCTGTGCAGATTTTTACAAACATTGCTTTGGCAGCAGCTGCCACCTGAGGGAAGCGAAATAGTTAAAATGATGAGCTGAAGCAGCTGTAAATGTGTAGAACAATGGCAGGATTATGGGCATTACTGAAGAGCAGAGGCAGAAGCAGCAAACTCTGAGATAAGATGGGAAGGGTGTGTGTGTGTAAAGAATTTGAATGGTAAGCAATACCCTTGGCCAAACAGAGCACTAACCAACCACGCACGCGTAATACATTCATTAGTATTATTTAGCCCACCCTGAATACTTAATTAGCTAATTTAAATGCACGCGAGTGGGCGTCAATGTGGCAAATGGGGTTCAATGTGGCAAGTGATGCACATTGGGGTCTGAACTGGCAGAGACTGACCAAGAGAGAGATCTTGGAGTCGTAGTAGATAACTCAATGAAAATGTCAAGACAGTGTGCAACTGCAATAAAAAAGGCCAACGCTATGCTGGGGATTATTAGGAAGGGAATTGAAAACAAATCAGCCAGTTTCATAATGCCCCTGTATAAATCGATGGTACGTCCTCATTTGGAGTACTGTGTACAGTTCTGGTCACCACACCTCAAAAAGGATATTATAGCGTTGGAAAAAATGCAGAAAAGGGCAACTAGAACGATAAAAGGGTTGGAAGACTTTCCCTATGAGGAAAGGTTGTGACATGATCAAGGTTTATAAGATTATGCATGGGATAGAGCAGGTAGAGAAAGAGGTACTTTTCTCCCTTTCTCACAATACAAGAACTTTTCAGTTCCAGGAATTTCCTATAAGCAAACAAGGTCTTATTTTGCTTTTTAAATTTTTTCTCCCAGGATGCTCCTCCCTCCCCATCATCCTTCCACCAGTTACCAGGTGCTGCCTGGCGACCCTAACTGGGAACTGGTCTCCATTAACTGGAGATTTAAAAAAACAAAAAAAAAATGGAGATCAGTTATAATTCCAGGAGGTCCCCAGGCCCCACCTGGAGGTTGGCAACCTCCAGCTGTGACATTTTGCAACAAGAGCTTCTAGTCTGAATTTGAGGCAAGCCAACCCTAACCCTAACCCTAACCCTAACCAGAATTGTTTTCAGAAGCTGATGCTGAATTCTGAGAACTTGGGCTCAGTGTCCATTAAATGCATTCACTGGGTTCCCCCCCCTCCACACTTTCAAGTTGATTCAGGTGCAGAATCCCTTCTTTCCTCCCATGAGTCACCACAACAACCAGGATGCCAACACCGTCTGGTATTGGGCACTAAGAGGCAGTAACTTCTTGGCACATCTGGTGGTGGAGAGTGCTGTCAAGTTGCAGCCAGCCTATCATGACCCTGTAGGGTTTTCAAGGCAAGAGACGTTGAGAGATGGTTCGCCATTGCCTCCCTCTGCGTCATGACCCTGGTATTCCTCAGAAGTCTCCCATCCAAATACTAGGCTGCTTAGCTTCCAAGATCTGACAAGACCGGGTTAGTCTCAGCCATCTAGGCCAGGGCCCTGGTATGTCTAGGTACCCAAATCTCACACGACCTGGGCCGGGATAATCTAATAAGACAAGAAGGGCTGCACCCATCCACCTGAAGCCAATGAGCTACGGGTTGAGCAGGAGGACGGTGGACACGGCATGCCGGACAGATCAGCCACACACACTTGGGTTTCCTTCTAGAGGCACAAAGAGTACTTACTTCCTTACACAGGGTGTCGTGTGCCCATGTTAGAAGTGCCCTCACTTCATATACTCCCCTTCGCTCAAATAGTCCATAAAGGACCCCGTCAACTCAGCAAAATCTTCCAGTACAAGACTGGTAGAGTCCTCACCGGACAGGTCACTGTCAGGCCGAGGTTTCCTGACAAGGGCCGGGGGGGCAGTGGGAGGAGGTGCGCCAGAGGCCGGGGAGGCTGTCTGGACAAAGGTCGGCGGGCGTGAGGGCACGGGCGGCTCCTCGGGCTCAGCTGGCTCTTGCTCCACCTCGGCGTCTGAAGAGGCGGGCCCCAGGACGTGGTAGAGGCTGGGCAGACGGATGTCGAAGCGGAGGCCGAACTTGGCGAAAAGCTTTTCGTTCAAGGCGTACAGCTTCTCGGAGATGTCGTAGCCGAGGAGGACCGAGAAGAGACGGGCGATGTAACGCTCTCTGGCCAGCAACGAGTAGAGCTGCCTCCGCGGCCAAGTGACGAAGCTGCAGTCCGTCTCGGCTGTCAAGGTGACCTGCCGAGGGAAAGGGAAGCAGGGAGGTGATATTTGGGCTGAGAGGTGACAAAACTGCCATCTTACCTTCAGGATTACTGTCATCAGCTGGGAGTCATAGGAGGATTCCAAAGAGATGAGTTGGAAGAGATTTATACTGAATACCTGTGAAGCTGCCTTATTCAGGGGTCATTTTGTAGAAAAAGAGGTGCAGGGGCTCATTAGCATAACTCATTTGCATATGCCACACCCCCTGACATCACCAGAAGTGTGTCAAAAGGCAACACCCACCGCTCAGGCACCACTGGACTGTTTTGGATTGCCAGCTATTGGGGGGGGGGGAAGCGTGCAGATCTGTCCTCGCAGAGGAGGGAGAGCGTGTACCTGAATAAAACTTGGTCTTAAAGGTGCCAATGGACTGTTTTGAATGGCTAGCTATGGGGGGAGAACACGCAGATCTGCCCTCACAAAGGAGGGAGAGCTGGTCCGTGGAGGTGGGCCGGGGGGGGTGGGCTCTGCAACTTATCTGTCTGCTTCTTGTTCCTCATGGCCCGACTGAGGGCTGCTGGGAGCAGGGGGTGGGGCTTGTTGCATGTGCCCGCCCCCTGGGCTCCTTACTGCCGGAGCTCCGCTCCTATGTGCTCCCGCAGGAAATGACCCCTGCTTATACCGAATCAGACCATGGTCCATCAAGGCCGGTCTCGTCAACTCAAAATGGCAGCCACTCTCCAATGCCTCAGGTTGAGGTCTTTTAGCATTGACCCCTACCTAAGCCTTTTTAACTGGAGGCACCGTGGATTGAACCCACGCATGCCAAGCAGATGCTCTACCACTGAGCCATGATGGTGGTGGGAAGTACCTTCAAGTTTCAGCTGACTTATGGTGACCAGGTAGGGATTTCAAGGCAAGAGACATTCAGAGGTGGTTTGCCATTTCCTGCCTCTGCACAGTGTCCCTGGCAGGGCTTTTTTTCTGAGGGAACGCACCGGAAAGTTCTTTTTAAAAATGTTTAAAAGTTCATGAGTTTTTGGTATACAGATTGAAAGATTGAAAACTTCATTTCCCTTTTGAGAGTTCCGGCACCTCTTCCGCCCCCTGCCCCCCCCCCGGTCCCTGGTATTCCTTGGAGGTCTCCCATCCAAATACTAGCCAGGGCTGATCCTGCTTAGCTTCTGAAACTCACAAGATCAGGCTAGCCTGAGCCACACCCCCTCCCCAATTGAAGTTGCCTTATACTGAACCAAACCAGGGCTATTTTTGGGCAGGAACGCACAGGAACGGAGTTCCGGCTGGCTTCAGAGTTGGCCACGCCCACTACAGCTAAAACGTCTGTGCTCGTGGCTACAGAGGGAAGGCCTGGAGAACAACCCCCCTCGTGACTCCGAAGCAGGCAGGCAAGGGGGCGGGGCCTGGAAGGATCGAGGAGGCATTTAAGGGCCAGCTTGCCAGGCATCCCGCAGCCGTGGGGCAACTGGGCAAGTCAAGGGAAGACATGGGGGTGTGGCCTAATATGCTAATGAACTGTGCTGTTGGGGTGTGTGGCCTATTATGCTAACAAGTTTCTGCTGGGCTTTTTCTACAAAAAGAGCCCTGATACCAAACCATCAGTCCATCAAGGGCAGGATTGTCTATGTAGATTGGTAGCAGCTCTCCAGGGGCTCAGGTGGAGGTCTTTCACATCACCTACTGCCTTATTCTTAACTGGAGATGCCGAGGATTGAACCTGGGACCTTCTGCATGCCAAGCAGAGGCTCTGCTACTGAGCCACAGCCTCTTCTAAGCTACTTGGAAGAGACTCATTCTACTTGGAAATCCTGTCAGGCGAAGTTGCTGTTCAGTTGGGGGGGGGGCAGAGGTCATTTCGGGGGAGATCGTGGGCATAGGCGTAATCTTCGTGGGGGCGGCGGGGCTTCAGCCCCCGCCGAAATTTTCAGGAAGGTACTCAGCCTCCCCCGGGAGCCACCCTTGCTCCTAGCAAAGCAATGCCTCTGGCCCAGCCCCAGCCCCCCCCGGGAAATTGGAAAGTCTACACCCTTGATCGTGGGGGATCGCAGTTCCCCCGGGTGAGGTACGGGGGCGGGGCACATGACGAAGCCCCGCCCCCTGCTTCCGGCCGCCCCGCTTCCGGCCCTCATTCAGCCAGGAGGAGGCAGGAGAAGAGGGAGGGTAAGTTGCTTCCTCCCTGCCTCTCCCCACCCCTGCCTGCCTGGGGCCAGGGAAGGCCTTCGCGGGGCTTCCTTGCGCTCCCGCCGGCCTTGCAGGTCCACCGCAGGGCTCCTCATGGGGCTCGGTAGTAGAGCTGCAAGGCCAGCGGTGGCAGCCGGGACCGTTGGAGGCGGGGTGTGTGGCCTTATGACACACTTCCTGTGATGTCAGGGGGTGTGGCCTTATGACACACTTCTGGTGATGTCAGGGGGTGTGGCATATGCTAATGAGTTCCCCTAACTCTTTTTCTACGAAACGACCCCTGGGGGGGGCGCAATGCAAGGGGTTGAGGGGGACACACAAACTGGGGGAGGGATGGCATAAGAGGTCAAAAGCCAGTTTGGTGTAGTGGTTAGGAGCGCAGACTCTAATCTGGGAGAACCGGGTTTGATTCCCCAGTCCTCCTCCACATGCAGCTGCTGTGTGTTATCTTGGGTCAGTCAGTTCTCTCAGAGCTGTTCTCAGAGCTGTGCCAGTTTGGTGTAGTGGTTAAGTGCGCGGACTCTGATCTGGGAGAACCGGGTTTGATTCCCCACTCCTCCACTTGCACCTGCTGATGTGACCTCGGGTCAGTCACAAGCTCTGGCACAGCTGTTCTTGAAAAAGAGCAGTTTCTGTCAGAGCTCTCTCAGCCCCACCTACCTCACAGGGTGTCTGTTGTGGGGAGGGGAAGGGAAAGGAGTTTGTAAGCCGCTCTGAGACTCCTCTGGGTAGTGAAGGGCCATGGGGTATAAATCCAATCTCCTCCTCCTCCTCTTCTTCTTCTTCTTCAGGAGCTATTCTTGAGAGAGTTCTCTCAGCCCCGCCTCCCTCACAGGGTGTCTGTTGTGGGGAGGGGAAGGGAAAGGAGATTGTAAACTGCTCTGAGACTCCTTTGGGTAGTGAAGGGCGGGGTATAAATAATCCTCCTCCTTTTCCCTCCTCCTCACTGATAAATTCCTGTTTCTTCTGGTGTGTGTCTGTTACACATGTGTTTTCCTCCCTCTAGTGGTCAATTTGATATCACACTGCTTTTTTTGTAGCCTATCTCCCTGCAGATTTAAACTGCTGATTTTTATGCTAGAAAGAAAGCTGTGCGGTATCAAATTAGCTGTTAGGAGCAAAAAATGTGTGGAAAAGACACCCCCCCCCAAAAAAAAAGCTGGAACTTGGAGCAGGTCGCCTTTCATGTTATGTAACATTACCCCAGTGTCCTTTAAATTAATTCATTCATTTTTTAAACCACGACTCCAGGGTGGGGCAACTGGGAACAGAGCTGCACACAGCGACTTTCCTGCTCCTGCAGTCCCCCCCTTAGGCTACCAAATGTGCTCACCCTTTGAAATGTATTTGGAACTCCATACTTGTGGAAGGAGCAGGGCTGGTCCATCCATTAGACACGCCTAGGTGATCACCTAGGACACCAGAGATGGAAGGGCATCAAAACCAGCCCTGTTGTCGCCCCGTCCTCCTGCCTGTGGTGTTCAGTCCGCTAGGGTGGTGGTCAGCCCAAGAGGCCAAGCAACCCTACCATTTTCAGTATCCCCAATCTCACAGTATCCCTTCTGGGGCAAACTAGAAGTGACATCACGATGTTGGGGGATGGTTGCTCTTGCATGTGGATGGTTGCTCTATGGTTTTACCTCCCCCATGTTGACATCACTTCCAGTTTATAATTCTGGGAGAACTCCAGGCCTTACCTAGAGGTTCACAACCCTATGCCCTGCTGGGAGGTATGGCACCACAGCCAGCCACCGTGCCAGTTCCAGAGCAGGTAGCAAGAGTGGGGAGCCACTTCATCGCAGTGGGTGGGTGGGGAACAGTGGTGGCTACTGTATGGTGCCAGGGGTAGAAGCGTGCTCATTCACCCAGAGCCCCCAAATCCTTGGACCGGCCCTGGGGAGAAGCAGTGGGGGAAACAGATGACTTAGGGTGTTTTCACACACATTGAATCATGCCCTTTCAGTCCATTTTCGATGCACTTTAGCAATCGTTTGCAAGTGGATGTGGCTGTTCCACACAAGAACTTCCAGGTGTAAGGTGCATTGAAAGAGGTGTGGAACTGTATTATTCAACATGTGCGGAAGTGCCCGTAGATGAGGTTAAAGGCACTCTCCCCGCCACCAAGCATCTTTGAGTTTAAGCAATGCCTGGGGTCTTCTGGGCCGTTGAGAGGGTCTTGTTTCTTGTGGCCCGTTCTGTACTTCATTCCAACGAGGCCCAAAATAACAACTCATAAAAGCTCTGCAGAGGCTATTTTTGAAAAGTAGAATTTTTGCCCACAAGACTCCACAGCTTAGAGGGAACATTGGTTGGAAGTGTATGCGGTCGTCAGCGGCTCTGCATGAAGATAACGTTGGCTGATATTGCGGCTGATTGGTAAAGCTGTGGGGAGTGACTGGGTCATGTTTCCCCCCCGGGGAATTCTATACTTCGGCAGAGAAGAGGCTGGTTCTTGCACTGTATCTAGGGCTGCCAATCTCCAGGTAGCACCTTGAGATCTCCTGCTGTTACAAGTGATCTCCAGGCAGCCAAAATTAGCTCCCCTGGAGAAAACGGCTGCTTTGGAGAGTGGACTCTGTGGCACTGTACCCTACTGAGGCCCCTCCCCTCCCCAAACCCCGCCCCCTCCTCAGGCTCCACCTCCAGAATCTCTAGGTATTTCCCATCCCAGAACTGGCAACCCCAACCGTATCTGAGGCAGCCTCCCTGAGGAACCCTGGTGCAGAACGCTGGCAGGCACCCCTTTTCTCCCGGGGAACTGATCTCTTTTAGCTGAAGGCCACTTGCAATTCTGGAAGAACTCCAGCCCCTGGAGACTGGCAACCACAGAGGCG